TTTTTAGCAGGTGGTAAAATACCCAAAAAATAAAAATATACAGTGTGTCTACTTAAGTTGGAACCATATGGAAAACCTTTTTATTATTGGTTTTATGAAAAAAAGTTATTCTTCATAAAAAGTTCTGCATAGTCTAAAATCTAAAATGCAATCTTCAGTTATCAAAATTTCCCAGTTATATACGAGGTATATCAGATATTATGAATTTTGCTCAAGAATAAAGTACCCTTATTTTTGACAATACAGAAGAGTGTTATAAAGAAAAGTTATTTTTAATTAAAAGTTATTTTCAAATATGCAGTTACAGCTTTAGCATGAAGATTCGGGTTTTGTGATTATTTACGTTTTACGTTATAAATTATTTGTATTATTATTATAATTAAATTGTAAGGTTATTCATAAACATTAACAAATAGAAAAGTTATCGTATTTTTAACAAATAAAAGAGATAAATACAAATAATTTATAATGTAAAATATAAATAATCACAAAACCTGAATCTTTATGCTAAATGGCTGTAATTGCATATTTGAAAATAACTTAATTACTGTCACTTATTGTTATAACATTCCTCAAACTAATTCATATCAAAAATTCAGGCAAGTTGACCAAAATTTCGATTTAAAGGCTTATTTAATTGGACTATAAGCTCAGACATTATTAGGAGACTTTTTTGTGGGGATTTTAAAATATAGTCGTATTACCTGCGACGCCTACCAACAATACTGACGTAAAATTCTTGTTTTTGTTACGGACCCCAACCATCATTGTATATTTGACATACTATGACTATGCAATCTAGATTTTTTTTCTAGTTTTATAATAAGGTTGAGTTTTTGAAAACAAAATACCCTACTCTTATTACGGAATTCAAAGAAATTTTTTAACAAAAAAGACAAATCTTACATAACTCAAATACGATTTAACTTGAAGAAGAAAGAGCTAGATAATTAAAACGAAAAAAGATAGGTCAAATTTGCCATAAAATTCTGCAATTTCTTCGACACTGTATTTCTCAAAAGAATAAAAGAGATCTTAAAGTGTGTGTCGAAGAACGAGCACTCGATATTATTTTAACTTATATTAGAGAAATGATAATTATATTCACAAATATTCTGATTTATCATTTCAAAATATTAATACTTATACTTACTTTTTACTGCGAAGACTGGAAACCACAACAATTTTTAATTTTTGATGCAATTCAAATAAAAATCTATACTTGTTTGCGACCGATAGATAAAGTAAAAACAAGTATCTGAGCTGGCATAACAATTTAAAGGGTACTCGAGGACCAGCAGTCGATTAAAATCTTTAAAAATATTTCAGAATAGATTATCAGCATAAGCATATTGTCTGTAGTACTCAGTCATTCTAAAATTGTCAATAGATTTTTTTTATCAACGATTACTAATACACATAGAATTCAAATTGAAAATTTACAAAATATCGTCATTTTGTTTGATTATAAATATATAATAAAATTTTTGGACACCCCGTAAAATATATACATTTTTAAATATAAATTTAAATTTTTTCTTTATAATGACGTACAATTTTTTTTCGTCACACTGTAGAGTGGTGACGTCATATATTTTTTAAATGGGATTGTATAAATTTTTTTGCACGTTCTAATTGGTTGTTTTATTCTCTTTCCAACCATATGAAATTTGTATGCCTTTGCGTAACGAAATTTTTGATAAAAAATGAGAAAACATTCGTTTACGGTGCTCGCTTTCTACAACATATGAAATAGAAGGCGCTGGAAATACAATTTTGCATGGTACCGCTACCTGTCACATATCGGTTTGTCTGTAATTGTTGGCACCTTTCAAGTTTAACTTGTAACAAAATGAATGATTGATGAATCTAATTACAAGAGAATTTGGAAGAATTTACAGTTATTTAGTATGTTCATATTCATATTACATATTTTCTAACAAGACGGTGCACCTTCATATAACGTTAAATTAAATGCGAATTATGTAGTAGGTATCGAAAGAAATGCACATCAATTTGAACAGTACTTTTAAATTTCATTACTCATTTTACATTTTTTGTTTGTATTTCATATTGTACTGTACAATTTTTTGTTTATTAATGGATTTTGGACTGATAAGAAATGATGAATGTATGTTCATTATTACAGTAGGTAATTTACCCCGGAAACATTAGATAACGCAGAACTCAATCTCTTTGTTTTAACTTGCTCTATTAACACACTAGATTTACAACAAACAGGTATGTACCAGAAAAATCAATAATGTAGAATGTAGGTAAGTGTAAGCAAATATTGTATCAGTACTCTCGATTCTATATTCAGTAATTACCGGTTAATTGTTATTGCATGGCAAATATTAGTAATACACAAAATAAACAATAGAAATTATATAACATCGTTGTCTATGCCACCATAATGCGAAAATAACAAATTAAGTAATAGTGATGAATTAAAGAATGTTTAAAAATTGAAGTCGTTTTCTAACGACTAAACATAAATAATGAAATTACAAAACATTTGGAAATTTGACACTTCACAAATTATTCATTGTCATGCAAAAAGAAAGCTTACCGTTGATCCACAGCCAACGTGACCAAGTCCCTCGAGGAATTCCTACCATTTGCTGTCACATTAACTCGCGAAACGCGAAATTGGTAGTTTACAATTGATTCCCCAGAAGATTGAACCTAATGACTCAAATCCAAGTCGCCTCTTCGAAGAAAGCATTTAGGGCCTCAACACTCGAGGAATACGTCGATAGCGTGAATTACCGAATATTGCCCGAGATACACGTCTCTGGCTCAACTCATCAATCAACGGATATCAACGAATTTAATCAAGTTGATCGCGGCGATCAACAGAAAACTCCGATTAGTCACTTTTAGTCATTGTCACTAACACTCTTTCATCACTAAACCACTGTGGATGTCTGATTAGACTTAATGAATCCTGAAATAAAAATATTATATTAGTCTTTTGAATATACGATTACTTTCTTTTGCATCTGCTGGTAGTGTACGCATGATTAATGTTGTGATTATACTGTTATATGAAACAAAAGTAGCAAGCAAAAATTATAATAGACCGAAAATTTGACTGCGTATACCATGGTGTCATACAGAGGGTAGAAATACCAGTAATACGCCAAAATTCTAAAAAACAAGTCACGCGCGAGTTGGTTAAAATAACTACTAAAGCTTTGCATGTAAAAAAACGAAAACCACGCTACATGTTTTATGAAATGCAGACAAAAAAGTCAACACAAATATTCTGCAAACAAATTGTATGGGCGATATATATAATACGATTTCGTCTAGCTAGACTTTCCATTTTAGCAGAGTAAAAGCCAGTATTTACATGTCACATGGAATGCGAGCAAAGCCAAAACGGCTCAGAGGAAAAGTTGTAATGAAGTATCTTCCTATCTTCTGAATAGGAATAGGAATCTGGATAGAAGTATGTGGTAACTTTATAGCAACTATCTCTCTCTCTTCACCTTATAATTTGCCTAGCCATTGGTGGGAGGCTACCTCTTTCCTTTCCTGTTAGTAATCTGTGGCTACCTCTAGTGGTATATGCTCGAAGCACTCTGAAACATAATCAAAACAAGATAAAAACGTCATAAAACATAAAACCTCATTTTATTTACGAATTCATAAAATATTAAATCTTTATATTTCCTTTACATGCTCTTCGAATTTTTACACCACATATTGTGAGTATACTACCCTTATTACATTTTTATCCGTTTTCTTGTTTTGTTGTTTTACACTTGTATTAGCAATTCAACTAACCTAATGGCAGTTGGCAATTGATATAAAATTGGATAAATCATCTTCCAAATTCAAAATATATAGGAAAACTTTACATTTATGTTCAAAATGTTTACTAATAACAGTCGCTATAACGATTACTATCTGGTGAATGATATGGAGGTAGACGATGTATCTTTTGAACCGAGAAAAAAAAGTTGTTGCAGAAAATGTTTAATTATAGGAGCTATCAGGTGAGTGTAAATATGAATATGTTTTAACTAATTACTAATTATCATCCTTTTCAGTTTGTTATGCTTGCTTATACTTGGATTTTTAATAATCTTTGTAGTATTACCGCTAGTCTTTATGAATTCCATCAGTCTGCAAAGAGCATTAATCTTTACCCATTGTAAGTATATTTAAAATTGGATATCGTTTATTAAAATAACCCTTTTTCAGTTGACCTTCCAAGCTCGGAAAAATACTTTGAAACTTACAGACTACCAGGTTATTTAAACAAATATGTGACAGTAAAAGACTTAGACGGCAGAACAAATGTAACGTTGGGTGTATGGCAAATGTTACCTGTACTGTTGGCTTACGAAAGTCTACACAATCCCGAATTTGATTATAAAGAAGCACTATTTAATAGTAACTACAGCGTTTTAATATATTTCCATGGTACCGGTGAATCTAGAAGTGACAGTTCTAGAAAATTTCAATTGCTGCGGTATTACTTCCATGTAATCGCTTTTGACTATAGAAGTAAGTATTTAGTTGAGATTCAGTTACGTGTAAGCTGTCATTTTCACTTTTTTAGGTTATGCAGATTCTACCCAAGGGATTTTATCGGAAAAGGCGGTTGTAAGTGACTGCGTGCAACTGTACCAGTGGTTGAGGAATCGCACGAATTCGCCAATTTATATATGGGGACACTCGTTAGGTGCTGCTCTAGCGACAGAGACTGAAGTCGCTTTGAGAAATTTAAATTACTCTCCAAAGGGACTGGTTTTGGAGTCTGCTTTTACCAATTTACGTGATGAAATGTACGTGCATCCTTATGTAAAGGTAAGGGGAAAAAAATTTATAATATTGGGCTGTGCTATTCTTTTAAAATATCTAGATTTTCGCCTGGTTGCCGTGGTTTGCTGGGACGATTTTGAACCCTTTGCGTGACAACGGGTTTATATTTGACACCGACACGAGGATCAGGAAAGTGTCCTGCCCAGTGATGATTTTACATGCTGAGGATGATTCAATCGTCCCTTACAAATTTGGACGAGAAGTATTTGAGATACGATTTTTTTTAAACGTGTATTTATCGTGTTACTTTCCAGTTGTATAAGATCGCTTCTAACCGATCGGTGGATGCCGCTAATACGACGTTCTACCACCAGTTTGGGAAAGATCTGGGATACAACCACTATTTTATTTATCAGGATCCCTACGTTAAGTATTTTATTATGTAAGCGGGACAAATCGATAAGGTACACTTTGAACATGAACCGTTTTTAGGGATTTCATCGTTGTCGCCGAAAAAAACGAATCTAGGACCGTAGATTCTCCTTAGAAAACATGACTAGCTCCCATCAAAGAAATAAGAGGCTGTGATTTGTCGTGTTAAGATATAGAAAAAAAAAAAAACACCAAAATGTCGTTCTGTTCTGTAATAGATAATATTGTGTGGATTGTTCTATAAATCGTCAGTTAAAAACGTTAAAAGTAACTGTTAATTAAGATAATACAATAAACGATCACGATAAGAGGGATTAAAATCTTTAGATAAAATATTAACTCTAGTGATAATTTATAGAATGTGTCTCGCCTGTTTGGATGCCACGTTTTGCCGAAACGGGTTACCCTGAAACCGGCTTACGACAAAGTGGGTCATTCTAAAAGGACTTTCCTTACACGGCTTTTTCTGAATTTTTCACTAACTTGAATGAAAAACGGCATAAAGGTTCCATTATTTTTTCCCAAAGGAGTTACGCTTAACGGCTCGACTTTTCTTTTTTTTTTTTTTTGTAAAGCCTTGTAGATTCAAAAATTTGCTGATGGGACCAATTATTTTTTTAAAAAATGTAGTTTTCATTTGTTGCAAATTCGTATGCAAAATATTATTTAAAAAAAATTAAAAATAGCTGTTCTGTTGAAAAAAAATTTTTTTTTTTTATAATATTTGTACCGTGTGGAACCAATTTAGGCAGAAGGTGACAAATCCATTTTTAATTAATAATTAGTCACAATAAATATATATTATGCATATTTATATACATAAATAGGAAAAATAAATGACTTTATTTACCAAATTACAAGCTGATTGTGCGTTGTGATAATAAAAAAATTTTAGTTCCCTAGAGCCAGGTCCTAGCCGGATGCACCAGCCCACAACTTTTTTATTTCTCAAGCTAGTATTTTTTTTTTTTTTCTTTTCTGTATTTACTAACATGTACTGGTGCGGCCGATCAGATTCGCCCAAGGCGCGTAATTTATACTTTGAAAAACGTCCCTGCAGATTTAATAATTTCAAGCAAATAATGACCGCAAAATCCGCCTGTTTTTGAGACTTTCACAGAAGCGACAGGAAAAATCCTAAAAATATTCAAAAAATATCCCAAAAAATTGTTATGAAAAATGAAAATGAGGATCACTTTCAGTTTTTCGAAAATTTTGGAAAATCACCCTTATTTAGGGGTTGAAAAGAAAAAAAGTGAACAAATTAAGAATCATCAATAGTTGTAAAACCGCAAATATTTCTACATTAAACCAAACAATTAAAGGGGCAAAAGAATTTCCAAAATTTTTCCGTGATTTTTGACAGACTGTATTTAAGTGAAAAATGGACGTACCGAGAATTAAAAAAAAGTATTTTGAAGCTCTAAGATTCTAGTTTTTAGATCTTTTGGTCGAAAATTTTTAGGACCTACCGTTATCATGCAATTCCAAGAAATAGCGCGACAAAAAATTTTTTTTACATTTTCTCACATTTTTACCTCAAATAACTTTTAAATTGATTAAAAAATATATATTTTTCAAAATATTTTCAAAAAATTTTAGATTTTTTTTTTTTGGAAAACCTTCCGAACATTGAAGGAAACAAAATCCAATTATTTCCAATTCGGCTTTTCTGTCCTATGCTTCTGTCCATCAGCTTTTTTTTTTAATTAAAATTAGTTGATGACCCAAACCAGATTTCGATCGATTTTTGAGACTGTAATTAATTTTTGTGCAGTCTGTAATCACTTAAAAAACAATTTTTTTCAAAACTACCCTTTTTCTTCTGAAAAAAAATTCCGAAGATTTTTCGAAAAAAAAAAAATTTTTCATCAATTTAAATGTTTGCGGTAAAAATGTGAGAACCTCAAAAAATTTTTTTTCCATTTTAATCAAGATTATGGAAGTGTTTAAGCTCAAAAATCGTGACCCTTTAATTTTTTCAAAAATTTGACTGTTTCAAACGAAAACGGATCTAGATACCGAAATTTTCGGTAAAATTGGACGTAAGTGACGCCCTCTATGAGCAACGCTGAAAGTGCACAACGCATCTTATTCGTGGCTTAAAAAAATATAATTTCACAAATTTTCAAGTTCCTAACCTACATATTTTCAGAGTAATCGCAAAAAAACGATTTAAAATTTTAACTTTGAACACCCTGTAGTTCCCAAACTATCAACTTTCGGATAAGGCATGTTTGCGCAAAAGTTACCATTTCACGTGTTGTAATCTTCAGCTTCCGATTTTCCCATTGTTAATGAAACACCCTGTATATATTATCAGACTTGGCGTTGTTATTAAAATAGGAAAGGTCAGTGCACTCCACACTGATCTTCCAACTAAATTCTTTGTTAACCCTGCTTTCTATTCTCAATTTTGGAATGACTTGTCTTATCCGGTCGCCTGAGATTTATTCACGGGTTGACAAAAGAAATAATTTCAAACACCTTTCAAACGCACAAACAAATAAAGGTCAGTTACTTGTTATATAATCCAATAAACTACATGTGCAATTGTAATTATTTTAACTTTCCAATTTATAACGACACCAAAGGAGTTGGTCTCTGTCATTCGAGTGAAACTGTGTTAAAATTTACTGTCGGTCTCGATTTCGATGGCAAAAATTTGACATAAATTTGGATGATTCGTCGAATTGAGATTTTTTCCTGAGAGTATTAGAAACTGGATGTGTACCAATGACGATAATGTGCTGGCAAACAAAAGATTATAAATAAATGTAAAGTATTCAGCTCGCACGCGACTGGCAGCAACCTGCGAGCGTATAGAACTGCAAACACCTGGTGGGCGGGAATTTTAAAAGTAGTGAAACTTTTGAGGAAGCAATAGATTAATACTGGACAGTTTGTCCGTGTTATTATTGTTGAAGTTATGTAACAATCAGCGCAATAGATAGTTGTTGACATAAAACTAAATACAATGCAGGTAATGTATAGTTTATTCTGTAAATACCTAATATATCGACGAATGAAAATGTTTTATCTCGCTCAAAGCATCTTAAATGCTTCTAAATGTTTACATTACCGTGCTCTTTACCTTGATTTAATTTCAGAAACTGCCAATGCGAAACAAATCGAGGAGTTGTTGTGCAAAATGTTTTCTAGGCACCGTTTTGTACATGTGAGTACACCATTAGAGTTATTTCATTGTACACTTACGGAACATATGTTTCAGCTTTATTTTATTGCTGCTCCTCTTCCTAATAATCTTCGTGGTAGTGCCTGTAGTTTTTAAGTACAGCACCGGGATTCAACAGAATCTCATATTCCCTACATGTAAGTTAAAAAGCAGGCGTTACGTTGGGAGCATTTTCAGTAAATCGAACTGATTGCAGGGATCATCCAGGCGGAGAATTACACTAACGTAGAGGCGTTCGGTATAAAGGGAGTTAAAAATTTCTATTTAAACTTAGAGAACGAGGACAATGTGACGCTAGGCATCTGGCACATCCTGCCGTTCGAAATACTCAGCGACGTTATAGACAATAACGATTACAACTATGACGGAATTTTGGAAAATGCAAACTACAATATCCTGCTGTACCTCCACGGGAACGGGGGCGACAGAACCTCCAGCTTGGAGCTGTACGAGATCCTACGGAGGTACTTTCAGATATTCGCGGTGGATTATCGAGGTATTGCCGAAAAGACGTATTTTAACGGATATAAAAACATTTTGTGTTCGTTTAAGGGTACGCCGACTCTTCCAAAGCCAAAATGGGCGAATCCGGCATCGTCGCGGACATCGTACAGCTTTACAAATGGCTGAGGACGAAAAGTAAATCAAAGATTTTCTTCTGGGGCCATTCCTTGGGCACGGGGGTGGCGTCACATGCGATCGCAAACTTGAAACGGGATAATATCAGTTCCCACGGTGTGGTTCTGGAAGCGCCGTTCACTTCCGTCACCGACGTCATGAAAACTCATCCTGTTGTTAAGGTAACACACAACTTGTGCTCGAATCGTGCGTAATTTAATTTATTTCAGGTATTCTCCTTTCTGCCCTGGTTTTCGATAACCATAATAGACCCGATAATTGGAAACGATTTAAACTTCAACGTAAAGGCTTACATTTTGGACGTGGACTGCCCCGTAATGATTTTGCACGCTAAGGACGACGACATAATCTCTTATAATTTTGCGACAGAAGTAATTTGTTTCGATGAGATCGCATCGGTCTAAAATGGTTTTTTTTAGGTCTATAACACTGCCGTGAACAGCAGGAATTACACGTATCAAGGGAACGTCACGTACCACCTTTTCGACGTTCTGAATTACGGTCATATGTACCTTTATAAAGCTCCGGAACTATCCAGCTACGTTGGGTATGGACGTTTCTTTTAGTAAAGGCGCAACGTAAAATTATATTTTTTTTCAGCGATTTCATCGCGGAATGTGATAATTTTGAAAGACAAATCCACAACTAATATTTATTATTGGAATGGAGTGTATACCTAATTATTTTGTAATAGATTTTGCACTGAAATAAAATTTTATGTATACATAGTTATGAAAAATGTTTTTTATTCTAAGTATATCCTAAACACCTAAATCGAGACCAAAAAAATTATTGATAAGCTATAATCGAAAATAAACTGAGAAAATATACAAAAAATTATCCACGTTGGCCACGTTTCTCAAAAACAAAATTTTAACATTTGAAAAGCAATGTAGGGTGGCGTGTATTGGTGGTTGCGTTTTAAACTTAAAAACGTCCACAGTATATAACAGCAATTTTCATAAATAATAGGTAATAATTGTTAATTTGGTTTGCATTAATATACTTTAAATTATATTTAAATAATAATCTTTGTTTTATAATAAAGTTGCCAATAACTGTTAAATTATGAGATTTTGTGAGATTAAAAAATTCAATTTATTAAATCGAGATTTAAAAGTAGGCACTTAAATAAAACTCAAATTATGAAATACAAATTGACAGCTGTCATGTAGACATTTCCTACAAATCTTTCTATTTTGCTACGCTGAACCCCTATAAAACTGCTCCAAAACGTTCTTAATACGTGGAATTATAATTTAACGTAGAGATAAAGGATTTAGGTGGCATTCTGATAAGATATATTTGGCTATCAACTTAAAACTGTCTAGATAGGTAAATTCGTTCGAGTCAAAATCAGAATAACACCATATCGATGAGAGTTGCGTTCATTTGTTTATTATTACTCTGTTTCATTTTAAATTTACCGCCTCGAGGAACTGTTTGGTGTTGGTAGACAATCGACAATCGGGCTGGTCAAATTTTAACATGGCGGGTATCGTAGAGTTGCATTAATCTGTCATGGGCTGTTTTAAGCGTATTTTGTAAATGAAGTCGTTGGATTTTACACCGAAAAAAGTAGACGGAGGTGTAGGGTGTTAGTGTAGTGATGTTAATACAGTTGAAATAAGTTTTTACGTGCATTTTCATTGAAAACAACAAGATGAGGTGAGTTATCGGCTTTTGTGGCACTAGATGTGTATTTTGCGATTTTTACAGTACATTTCTTTTACAAATGTACTTTCATTTGTTTATTTATCTTGACCTTGTCTAGTATAAAGTAATTTAATCGTTTTTTGCCCATCCGTGCTTTGATTTTTACTCATTCAATAATATGTACAGATTTTGTTTAAAAACCAGTTGTTGACGGGCGTTTTTATTGTTTATAAGTAGATCATAATTTTGCGTTACGGGCTATTCTTCCAGAATTTCTTGTTTTCGTGTATTTTTATCGATTTGGAAACATTGGGTGTGTTGAACCCATCCTTAATGACTAAACGAAATTTCCACCCCTATGTTGGTTTCCTATAAGGCTAAATTTTCCCTGTTCCCCTTTGGCCATATCACATTTTCTGCAGTCCCATGCTTACAAAGTAAATTTGATATTTGATCGGGTTACAAAAAGCCAAAAAAACATGTGGTATGTTAATTTCGTTCGCAGATTGTTAGTTTTTTCGAGGCTTCTGAAAGCACATATGGTTTAATGTTTACATTTTCGAAGCGGCTCACAACCGAGCCAACTTTTTGTTCGGAAGCGTAAACAAATTCGACTGGGGAGATGTAAATTGAAGAGTAATTTTAAAATTTGTCTTTGTTACGACTATTTGGGCTATTTCTACCCGCGTTCGTGTTTTCTTAAAGCTATTTTGGTTCGATATTACCCCACCTAGAATACAACAAATAACTGTCGCCAGTCCTGATAACGGGGATTATCGTTATTATCAAATATGATATGATACAAATAAAGGAAATTTTCGAGGTAATACCCAATTTAGATTAAGCGTATATAAAAACAACAAAACTTTTGTATTTTTTTTATTTCAAATTAACGAATAACGTAATTAAAATTTAAAATAAAGGTTGGATTATCTAAAAATGACATTCGATTTGCACAATTGGTTATTACCATGACTCATTCTATTACTGGTGATTCAGGTGATTACTAATAATAACTTCAAACAGTGAAAGCACTTTTCCATGTAAAAGACGTGATGTGATATTCGCTTTTGGATGTAAAATGTAAAAATTGTCCACAGTTTAGGAGAAGTAGGTATTTCTATGAATTGAAGATGAATTTTCTTTTCTAATTTATCACTTTCAGGAATAATGTTGTTACTGCATTCTCAAGAATGATATCTTAAATACAGGGTGTAACACAACCGCGTCCCAAAAATGAAGAAGCGCTTTCACAGTCCAAAAAAAATTTTTTATATATAAAAGGTCTTGAAATTATTGAAAAATTTAAGGGCATTAAATGCGAAACATATTTTTATACGTCGAATGCCATTTTATTCGTGCTTTGTACACAAAATGAGTTTCATTTCAATATCTTGGTACTTCCTGTATCCCAAAACAAAGGCTTCAAACGAAATGTAGAAAATTCTTCATATTTTAGGGATTGAATTTGTTTTGTCAAGACTAAAACATGTTAGGCCACGTCGATATTAAAATACGTAAAATATATGATAAGAAATTATAGCTCTAGCTTGGGTTAAACTTACTTCAGATGGATAATATTCCTCGTAGAGATAAGAACTTATTGAATTAGGCATAAGTGTATCCCAGGCCAATGTCGGTTCAATGTAAAAAATTCTGGCCTGGCCTCTCGGGATTCTCAGGAAACCAAATATTTGCGTTCGATAAATTCATCAAATAGAGACGAACGACAAAACCCGCGTACGTACGTGTAATTTTTTCCGTCCCTTATTACATTAAGACTCCCTTTGTATCATTGAGACTTATAGGAAACCAAATAGTCTTCTTGGCAAAATGTGTGACATTCAAAACAGTGTCAGCTGCAAGTGCGTGGTCGGAAGTAAGCTATTGGAGAGACCAGTTCCATTTGCAACAGGCCCACTTAAAACTAGTTTGGATTTACCGGGTGGACAACAAAAAAAGGAATGGAATACGTGGGCGGAAAAACTGGGCGAGACGGTTCACAAAAATTTTATCCATTTATTTGTCGATATGTCACGTCACTTGAATAGTATAACCCTGTGTCAAATAGTTGGATTCGATTAAAAAAATTAACTTTTTTTGTATATCAGGTAATTACGTAACGTTCCATGATGCCCAATTGAAATCGAACAAAACGCATTGGTGCATTGTCTTAAAATTGACCTAAATTCTCAGTGGGTCGTTTAAAATTTTCGTACTCGACTTCTGAGTATTAATTAGTCATACACAAATGACCCAGAACGAACTTAATTTCTGGGGATTACATAAGTCGCGACCAATCGATTCAAGTCAAAGGGATCGTTGGTGTACCGCTAATTAGGTTAATTAGTCAAAGCAAGGGCGCCTAGATCGGTCGTACTGCATAAAGGTTACATTTTTCACATCTATTAGAATATCGGTGTAAGGAAACTACTGATTTTTTTTTTGTAATTTGACTGTACACGTATTCCATTCCGCTTCCTCTGTCCACTCCGTGCCGGTTCCTCGAAACGAAAAACAACGCGAGCGGCTTTTTAAATTAGAATTCCGCTTCAATCCGAGGAGTCTCGACCCTCCCTTTCCGTTCCCTCATTCGTGTCTTCTTCATTGCCCTTTAAAACTGTGCTCGATGTTGTTTCAGCATCGCCGAAATGAGTTCCACTCAAGAAGTTAGGAGGAGGTACTTTAATCACTAATTCGATGTTATTGTTTAGCTCTTTGTTCTTTTCGTTCGTTGTCCCGTTTCTTTGACTGATTGATTCTGGAGTTGTTGTGGTTTTCTGCGCTTGAAGCACGGTCGACTCGATTGTCGGTTGATTTTATAAGCCAGGAAATGGAGCTGCGAAATGACCATTTCGCGACTTTTTGTTTCGGCAAGCTGAATTTATCACTATAGATGCTAAATATTATGTACAATTACATATTAGTTTCCACAGTCATGAAAATGGGGAGGAAGATTGTTACAGGGTGGTTAATTGTATAATTTTTACGTAAATTCGCGTCTTTTGTTTATAACTTTTTTCCGTTCATTTCCACGAGAAAACAGGAAAGTACTTTTTTTCGTCTTCAAAAGACCTGCAAATCTAGCCCTCGAGCGTCAAAAAATCTTGATTAAATCAAAAGTTACAAACAGAAGAAGTTTATTTATGACTTTTGAATTAAACATTTGAAGAGCACAGGGGAAAAGGGGGAATGTCACTTTTACATGTCTGTTCAGAATAAGCTTTTTAAACTTTACAACTGTGTACATATTTATTATTTAAATATATAAAGTTTTTAATTTCAAAATTACCTTAAAAAATCTACGATTAAAACAATCGTGAAGTAATGTTCGCAAATATTTTATTTTAGTAAAAAAAAAATATGTTGAATTAGTAACAAACTCACAAAATACGACTGAAAACGGTGGTCACAAAAAATTTATTAACATACAACTGAAAATTGGGGAATGTCCAAAGAAAAGGTAGGTCAGTGGTTACAAAACATAAGAATATTCTTACAAATAATTTGCTAGATCTAATCAGTCATTATATTTGTTAGAAAAGGGCAATTGGGTATAATAATCTTATGCTGCAGATGGATATAGACATTCCCCATTTTTTCAAAGTATGTATATATTTGAACTCATTTATTTTTGTGATTATGCTACATTTTTACACAGGAGACTTACTGAATATCAAGTTTGAATTATTCTCTAACAGATGGCACCACTAACTCAATTTGGACTAATTTGTGACGTTCCCCCTTTTTCCCCTGTGCTCTTCATTTATAAACTGCGTTTTGGCATCGCATCCTCTCATTTACAGTTTTTATAGTTTTACAAATTAACTAATTATTAGTCTGGACGATCCCGAACATCTTCCACAATCGCACTGATTTTTTTCAAGGTATATTTCGTAATAGTACATTGAAATCTATAATTTTTTTTAAATTTCAAATTTGCAACCTGGAAATTTTTTTTATTTTTTAGCCTTAGTTGCAAAATGAAATATACGACGCACGCACGTGATATAGTTATATATTATTACATATTCGGAAAGCTTATGAAAAGAGC